ACGGGGCCACGAAGGGCAGCGAGGGGGCCACGAAGGGCTGCAACGGGGCCACGAAGGGCTGCAACGGGGCCACGAAGGGCAGCGAGGGGGCCACGAAGGGCTGGAACTGCACCACGAAGGGCAGCGAGATCCCGATTCCTTAAAAATCTGTGAGGGAGTCCTATGCATGAGCGCGACTCCTGGGTGCCTGAATGTCGGGAGCGCGGAGCTTGAGTCAAATGCGTGTAATGAGCTCGTGTATGAGCCTGGTATTATGAATGATGTGTGCATTGCTGTGTTTGTGTGAGTTTGGGTTTGATGGGTGCTTTCGTGAATGTTGTGTGTGCCGAGGGAATGCAATGAAGGGAAAGTGGTGCTTGTCGAGGAAATGCATGGATGGGGCGTGGCGCAGCGTTGGCTCATGTTCGTCTCTCCTACCCGGCTGAATCGCTTGTCGCTGCCCTTGTGATATCCTGCCTCGCAGTGTTGTTGCGCCCCTCGGTCCCCGGTGTCCGCTGCTGCTGCTGGCTTGCATCTGTGCATGGTGCGCTCGTGTAGTGGCCTGGTATTCTGGCGTACCCCCCCTCGCGTCCTGTTGCGCTGTAGTGTGCCAGCGAGGGTTGATCCACTTGTCCGATGAATTCTTGTCTCCCTCAGTTTGTATTCGCGTGCCTTGTTTGTTTCGCCTTGCTTATGATTATCCTCGCTCTCTTGTTTTATTTCTGCTGGCCGCGCGCGCAGAACCATCACCCTTGCGAGCCCTGTGGGCTGGGGGGGCCGCCCTTTTTGCGGGCAGGCGCCGTCGTCCGGGGGCATACTTGGGCGGGTGGGTCGGCGTGGGCTGTGAGCTTGCTTCATTCCCACGGGGGGCCTTACGAAGGGCGGTGAAAGACCCGACCCTAGACGGGGGCACCCCGCGCTCCGCCTCGCCCAACACTCTCTTCGGGGGGCGCGCCGGGGCGCCGCGGGGGCCCGCGGGCCGGGCGCGCGCGCGGCGCGCGGCGCGCGGCGAGCGTCCGACCTGTGGCCGCCGATGCGGAGGCCAAAAAAACAAAAAAAGCGCAAGGGCGCTATTATTTGAGTAAGTTCCAAGCATGTCTCCAACGTGAGGGCTACTCCAGAACGCCGAGGGAGCGATTTCTGAATAACTTGTAACGATGTCCCAAGCGAGAGCGCGACTCCTGAATATAATGCGAGGAAACTCCGGCGGGAGCGGGGGTCCTGGCTAAATCGCGAGGAAGTCTCAAGCGGGAGCCGATGTAACCTGGGAGCCAGGGGCAAAGTTTGAGCCAAAAGGCTTTCCTTGATAAATAAAATAGAAAAAGGTGCGAGCGCCCCTCTCCGGCGGGAGCGGGGGTCCTGGCTAAATCGCGAGGAAGTCTCAAGGGGGAGCCGTTGTCGTACCCTGCGAGCCAGGGGCACAGTTTGAGCCACAAGACCTTCCGTGATAAATGAAATAGAAAATGGTGCGAGCGCCCAAAGGGGCACTTCAATTGAAAAATACAATGTGCACCGGAGGGGGATGTACAATAATTACTCTTCAGTAGTGAAAACTCAACAATAACAACAACAACAGCAACAACAACAACCAAAATCACAACAAAAGCAGCGGCAACAGCAGCAACAACACCACCACCACCACCACCACCAACAACAACAACAACAACCATTTTAAGAATGTTCGATCCTATCCGCTCACATGCCAATCAATACGTGTAGCCCAAACCCTCGGTACCCGCCCTCGTCGTCTTCGATCGTACCCCCTTGGGGGTATATCTTCCTTACCTGCCACGTGTTTTTAATGCAGGTTCGTAAACAAGGGAAGAGAGGACGGGTGAAACGGGGAGCGAGAAGAATGGAGCACGAGACAAATTAGCAGGAGGGGGGCAAGGAGCAGAAAACAATTGGTAGAACCAAACGGGCAGATCGGGTGGGCAGACCCATAGCGGGCAGGTCGGGAAGGCGGGCCCAAGCGACGAGGTCGAGCAGGCGGGTTGCTGAAGCGTGGGTCCTGCATGAATCGCGAGGAAGCCTCGAGCGATAACGCGATTCCCAAGTAAATCGTGCGAAAAGCCAGCGTGGGCCACGAAGGGCATAAAATCCGAGGCCACAGAGGGCAGCGACGGGGCCGCTGAGGGCAGCACCGGGGCCACGAAGGGCAACGAGGGGGGCATCAAGGGCGACTGCGGGACCACGAAGGGCATGCATATGGGGCCACGACGTGATCGAGCGGGGGCCACGAAGGGCATTCGTAAACGGGGCCACAAAGGGCGACAGCGGGGCCACCGAGGGCAGCAAAGGGGCCACGAAGGGCAGCGAGGGGGCCACGAAGGGCGACAGCGGGGCTACGAAGGGCATGCTCATGGGGCCACGACGGGCGCGTGCGAGCGGGGGCCACGAAGGGCATATAATGCGGGGCCACAAAGGGCATCGACGGGGCCACTGAGGGCAGCAACGGGGCCACGAAGGGCAGCGAGTGAAGGCGACCGCGGAACCATTACGGGCAGCAAGTGGCATCGAA